AGGTAAGCACTAGATTACTAACCATAAGGTCAGTGGCTCAAATCCAGCAGCTGCTCCTTGGAAAGCCTATACAAGGCCATTATGAGTCGGAACTGACTGGAATGGCACTTAACAACAACATGCTCAAGAAAGTGTCCTGGTGTGGTGCTATTAGGATAAGCAATGGACTGCTAACTACAAAGTCAGTGTTTCAAACCCACCAGCCACACCTCAGAAACCCTATACTGGGTCGCTATGAGTGGGTACCAACTTGATGGCATGCAACAACAGCATGCTTAAAGAAAATGGGACATATGAACAATAGGAAAGAAGTACAAAACTTTAAAAGGAACACTAGAACTTAGAGAGATGCATGGATCTGAATGGCAGTTACAGCGAACTAAATACTATATAAGAAAAGAACTAGAACTTAGATATGTTGTTGTTGTTATATGCAGTCTAGTTGGTTCTGACTCATAGTGACCCTGTATAGGGTTTTCAAGGAGCAACTGGTGGGCTTGAACTACCAACTTTGAGTCCTGGGGTGGCGGTGCAGGTTAATGTTCTGGACTGCAAAGTTGGTTTGATCCAGTTGCTCCTTGGAAACTCTATACAGTGTTGCTAAGGGTAGGAACCAACTCAATGGCATTTAACAACAAATGGTCACCTTGTGATTAGCAATCCACTGCTTATCCAGTAATACCACATGAGAACTCACCAGAACTTACAATAATATCAAAAATCAAACTCACTGCCACTGAGTCAATGACCCTATCTATCTAGGGTTTCCGAGACTGTAAATCTTTACTGGAACAGCCCAATACCTAACCCACAGCACCACCAGGGGTCCTTAATAGATGCTTGTTGTTGTTAAGTGTTGTGGAGTCAGTTCCAACTCATAGTGAGCCTATACTGGGTTTCCAAGGAGCAGCTGGTAGGTTTGAACTGCCAACCTTGTGGTTCGCAGTCCAGTGCTGATCCTACAGAGCCATACCAGGAGTCCTAATAGTGGATAAAATAACTTGATGAATCAAAAAAAAAGAGACAAGTATGACAAGAAAGAAAATTACAGAGCAAAGAATAGATGGACCAAACAAAAAACTATTAGCAAGATTACAGCTATGACTCCAACTTTGTTGATAATAACATTAAATATAAATGACTCATATGCTCTAATTAAAAGATGGTGGGTCTGTGCTGTGATGTTTGTAATGACTCACAGTAACCCTGTATAGGGTTTCTGAGGCTGTAAATCTTTACAGGAGCAGAAAGCCTCATCTTTCTCCTGCGGAGCAGCTGGTAGTCTCAAAATGCTGACCTTGAGGTTCGCAGCCCGACTGTAACCATTATGCTACCAGAGCTCCTCAATTAAAAGGTTGAAATCACTATATTGGAGAAGAAAGCAAAAGTATATTCTGCTCTGGGATGAAGAATCACTGTACCAGCATCTTCTTACAATATTGAAGGATTCTACAGTACAAATATTGAATGGAGGAAGCATCAAAAGAAGATGGAAGGAATACACAAAGTCACTTTACCAAAAAGAAATGGTCAGCATTCAAACATTTCAGAAGGTTGTTGTGGTGGTGGTTAGGTGCCATCAAGTTGGTTTCAACTCATGATGACCCTATGCACACACCAGAACACAGGACTGCCTGATTGTGTGCCATCATCACAATTGTTATGGCTGCCACTCTGCCAATCCATCTCCTTGGGGGTCTTCCATTTCTTCAAGGACCCTCCACTTTACTTAGCATGATGGCCTACTGTAGGATTGGTTCCTCCTGATAACATGTCCCAAGTATGAGAGACGAAGTCTGCGTTCTAGGAAGGATTCTAGCTGTACTTCTTCCAATACAGATGTTTTTTTTCTGGCAGTCCACGGTACTTTTAATGTTCTTCTCCAATACTACAACTCAAATGCATCAATTCTACTATGGTCTTCCTTATTCACTGTCTAATTTTTACATCCTATGAGGCTATTGGAACCGACTCCATGGCACAGAACAACAACAACATGAGGCTATTGAAAATACCTCAGCTAGGGTCAGGCACACTTTAGTCCTCAAAGAGTATCTTTGCTTTTGAACACTCTAAAAGAGCTCTGCTGAAGCATATTTCCCTCATGCAATACATTGTTTAGTTTCTTGACTGCTGTTTTGATGAGTGTTGACAGTGGATCCCAGCAAAATTAACTCATGGAGAATTTCAATCTTTTCTCCATTTATCATGATGTTATTTATTGGTCCAGTTGTGAGAATTTTTGTTTTCTTTACATTGAGGCGCAATCAATACTGAAGACTATGGTCTTTGATCATCGGTGTTTTAAGTCCTCTTCACTTCCAGAAAGCAAGGTTGTATCATCTGCATATCATAGGTTGTTAATGAGTCTTCCTCCAATCCTAATGCCATGCTGTTCTTCATATAATCCAGCTTGCAGATTATTTGGTCAGCATGCAGATTTAATAATTATGTTTGAAAGAGCACAACCTTTCCTGATGTTTAGGAGGTAAAACATGATAAAGAACGGATGATGCTAAAAGAAGTCCAACCTGCACTGAAGATCTTAGCAAAACACAAAAGACTCCATGAATTGGCATAATGCCAGTTGAAATGTTGCAAACAGCCAGATATAATGCTGGAAGCACTCATTAAGTAATCTATGCCAAGAAATTTGGAAAACAGCTACCTGGCCAACTGACTGGAAAAGAGGCATGTTTGTGTCCATTCCAAAGAAGGTGACCCAACAGAATGTAGAATTACCAAACAATATCAGTATCATAAGTAAGCTATTGCTGAAGATAATGCAAAAACAGTTGCAAGAGCATACTGACAGGTTGCTACAAGAAATTCAAACCAGATTCAGAAGAGGACATGGAATAATGGGGTATCACTGTTGACCTCCGAAGAATCTTGGTTGAAAGCAGAGTACCAAAAATATGTTTGTGTTTCATGGGCCATGCAAAGGCATCTGACTGTGTGGATCATAACAAACCATAGGTAACATTTCAAAGAATGAGAATTCCAGATTATGTCATTTTACTCATGTAGAACCTGTACATAGACCAAGAGGCAATTGTTCTAAGAGAACAAGGGGATATTTGACGATAAGTGTTTGTGTGCCATTGAATCGGTTCCTACTCATGGCGACTCTGTACAGAGTTCTTTATGGGAGCGGAAAGCCTCATCTTTCTTGTATGGAGAGGCTGGTAGATTCAAACTACTGACCTTAAGCTAAGTGGGCCAGCACAAAATCCACCACTCGACCACGGCTCCTTAAGGGGATACTGAATGGTTTAAAATCAGGAAAGATGTGCTTCAGGGTTGTATCCCTGCACCATACTTCATCAGTAAGCACTTCAAGTCCTCGTCACTTTCAGCAAGCAAAGTTGCGTCATGTGCATATCACAATCCTTCATATTGTCTAGCTTTCTGGTTTATTGGCTAAGCATACAGATTAAATAAATATGGTGAAAGGATACAACTCTGACATACATCTTTCCTTATTTTAAACGTTTAAATGACTGCCTTCTAGTCTATGTACAGGTTCCTCATGAGCACAATTAAGTATTCTGGAATTCCCGTTCTTTGCAATGTTATCCATAGTTTGTTATGATCCACAGAGTCAAATGCCTTTGCATAGGCAATAAAACACAAGCAAACATTTTTTTTGGTATTCTCTGCTCTCAGCCAAGATCCACCTGATCTGAGCAATGATATCCCTCATACTATGTCCTCTTTGGAATCCAGCTTGACTTTTTGGTAGCTCACTGTCAATGTACTGCTGCAACTGCTTTTGAATAATCATCAGCAAATTTTACATACATGTAACTCTAGCCAGGAGGTACTAATGACAGTACCTACATAACCCCCACCACCACCACCTCCCAAAGTAAGGAGCTCAAGTGATATGATGGGTAAGGGTTTGACTGGGAAGCAAAAGGTCAGTAGTTGGAAGCTGCCAACTGCTCTGCTCTGCAGGAGAAAATACATGGTTGGTAATCTATCTGTTCCCAAAGATGCACAAAATTTACAGCCGAGGAAACCCACTAGAGCAGGTTTACTCTATCCTACAAGTCACTATGAATTGGAATCATCTCCAAGGCACACAACTAGCCACGTCTAAAGGAGAGAGCCTAGATCAGCATTCCACAGTTAGGACTTAGAAGAATCTAACTTTGGGCTAATCCACCAGGGAAACCTTGTGAGGAGACAGTGAAGCAGAGGAAACCAGAGAGCATTTCCCAGTGGTCACAGCTTTGGTCTTGACTTCCTGAGTCCCAACTCTGGTCAGTCATTACTGGATATAGGATCTTTGGGACTTTGAGAATTAGCATGCACCTAACTCAAACCATGGTATTTTCAATTGCCTTTTATTAATGCAATGAATAAAGAGGGCTGAAGAAGAATAGATGCTTTAGAACTCAGGTGTTGGAGAAAAGTATTTAATAGATCCTGTACTGCAAAAATAACGAAGAAATATAGTTTGGAAGAAGTACAACCAGACCGCTCATGAGAGGCCAGGATGGTGAAACTTGGTCTCATGTACTTTGGACATATTATCAGGAGGATCCAATCCCTGAAGAAGAAGAACATCATGCTTGTTGTTGTTGTGAAGTGCCGTCGAGCCGGTTCCGACCCACAGCGACAGGGTTTCCAAGGAGTGGCTGGTGAGCTTGAACCACCGACCTTGCAGTTCAAGCTGGCTTTGCTATCCAGCGCATTAACCCACAGCGCCACACCAAGATTCTTGAAGAACACGATGCTTAGTAATGCAAAATAAGAAAAAGACCCTCAGTGGGGTGGATTGTTACAGGGGCTTCAACAATGAACTCAAACTGACTGTGAGCATGGCTGGCGCAGGACCCAACAGTGTCCCGTTCTGTTGTACATGGGGTCACTGTGAGTCGGAACCGACGAATCGGCACCTAACAGCAACAACCACATGACCTTTCTAACATGCTCCCCCAGCAGGGTCCTTATCCTTAAATTCCCCAATCCCCGTCTTGAGGGCACCTTACCTGGCAGCTCACCACTTCGGTCTCGTCCGGGCAGGTGGCTGGCGGCTCGCGCAGGCAGCACAGGAAAAAGGCCGTGTCGAAGCGTCGGCCGCCGGGGCGAATGAAGGGTGTCAGCCAGGTGCTCCAGTCGTGCAGCGCCCAGATGTCGGGCGTGCAGTCCAGGTGCGCGCACAGGCTCAGGAAGTGGCGCGGGTCGCTATGGACCCGAGCGCGCCAATCGGCCATGCCGGGCGGTGGCGCGAGGGCGCAGCCAGGTTCCGAACGGAGCCCCGACCCATGCCCAGAATCAGGCGTGGAGCCGCGGGGTCGCAGCAGCAGCAGCCCCGCCTCCTCGAAGGCCTCGCGAATGGCACAGATGCGGAATGCTACGTCATCCGGCAGCGCCTCGGCGTCCGCGTCGGACCCGTAGCCGGGCAGCACCGGGAAGGCGGTGCGCGGGGCTGATTTGGGGCTTAGGCCGAAGCGCGGCGGCAGGTGGTGTGGCGCGAACAGACGCAGCCAGTCGGCCGAGCGATCGGCTGCATCCAGCACGCCGCCCGGGAAGACGTGCGCGCCAGGCATAAAGCCCTGGCCCTGGGAGCGCTGCAGAAGCAGCAGCCGGAAGCCCTCGTCGGGCAGCGGTGGCAACGACTGGGTGGTGGGGCCTGGGCGCGCCCAGCCCGCAGCCAGCACCAGCGAAGCCGCCCGCCGCCATCTGCTTGAACTCGGTCGCAGGGGGGCGCTCATGGCGACTAGGCTGCAACACGGGTCTCCTCGGCACAGGGTTCTGGCGCAGTTCTCGAGCCTCGCCCCCACGCTAGTGCTCCTGGCGACCTTCCGGCGTAGAGGACGAGCCCTTCGTCTCGCCGGGCCGACTCCTTGTGAGTTGCTGTTGGATCCAGGCCTCTTGGTGTTGACCGGGCCTGCCTGTGGGAGGGGCGTGACACCCACTGGCGTTGACACCACCTCGGGTGCCCTTGTAGGTCACTCTCGCGGGACGAGAGCTGTCACAGTCTTCGCGGGGCGGAGGGCCTCGTCGGATCAGATTCTCTTGGGAGGAGCAGGAGTGCTTAGGGTACAGGTGACCCACCTTGTAAAAATGGGATGCAAACCCCGGCCTGATGACAACTATCCCACTAAAACCCGAGGTCTAGACTTTTCTCAACCCAAGGGTCAACACCGGAGTGTGTGTCTTTGGAAGGAGATAGGTTGGAGGTTCACATGGAGTCCTGGTGTGGCGCTACGAGATAAGCGCTGAGCTGCTAACCTCAATATAGGCGGTTCAAACCCACCAGCTGCTCCTTGAAAACCCTATACAGCGTCGCTGAGTTGGAACCTAATATTAACAATAACAAAGGAGGTTCACATGAACCCTGCCAGTAAACCAGAAGCGGGATTAAAAATTTTCCCACTGCACAAGAATTCTTTGGAATCCTGCCCTCACAGTCATTCTGTTTTATGTTCTGGGCGCCTTCTTGAGTTGCTAGGGCACCTGAGTAAACACTTTAGGTGTCTGAGGTTGATATATTCCATCCTAATTGTTGTTAGGTGCCATTGAGAGGATTTCCTAGTAGCAGCATTTGTTGTTGTTGTTAGGTGCCATCGAGTCGGTACCAACTCAGAGCAACTTTATGCACAGCAGAACGAAACACTGCCAACCCTCAGTACTGTTGCCATGCTGAGTCCTTCGCATGGGGGATGTTTAATCCCAGTCAGGAGATGGAGGCTTCTTTTGCCTCCATCATTTTAGTGGCTAAAGTACATTGGCCTTTAAGGACGGCCTTATTGCCTGTTGGGAGGAACCTGTTTAAATCTGAGCCTTCTCTTTTACAAATGGTTCCTGCAGGGGTGCAAATGGTTTGCGATGTACTAGTAACTGTTCAAAACCACCCAGCACTATGCAGAAAAGGCCTGGTGATTGGATTCCATAAAAATCACAACCAAGAAAACTACTGAGTATGTGCGCTCTATGGTGCTCCACTTTGGATCACTATACTGGGATAACAGAATCAACTGAAGGACAATAAATATATATTTTAAATCAGTTGTCAGCAACTTCCCCTTCACATGCTATTTGGTTCCTCGTTACTTCTGCAGTTGTTGGATGTACTCAATAGACTCCTGAACCTTAAATTTGTTGTTGTTAAGTGCCATCAAGTCAGTTCCGACCCATAGCGACCCTGTATAGGGTTTCCGAGGAGCGGTTGGTGAGCTTGAACCTTGCAGTTCAAATGGCTTTGCAGTCTGGCAGTCTGGTGCATTAACCCACAGCACCACACCAGGAAGCTCATTTACAAACCATTTAAATGTGATACATTTCCTGGAGAGAATCCACAGATGGCACCAGTATAAAGGTTGGTTTTTGTTACCATCATTTTCTAAAGGTGCAAATCCCTGTACACTGACTGCATCCCCAGAAATAGAAAATGGAGGCCAAGGGGAACACATGACCTGTTGGAAGGGCTGCTGGCTTCCACCCCACTGGAGTCCAAAGAATCCATGCCTTGGGTTACCTCCCTAATCAGCTTCCCAACTACATGGAGCTCTGCTCTGAGACAGTTGTTCCCAAATCTGTTGCAGAATCTGGAGTGGTACCCTGGAGTCTATGTCGTTAACAACCTTCCCACCCCAAGTGGTTCTAGCACTATGCACCAGGGGAAGCTAGGAAAGGTGATAAGGATCAAGTTCATGTCTTCAAAAGTCAACTTGATAGGCCTGCTCAGTGCCACCAGAGAGCCCCAATTTGTTCAGTGCCTCAGCCACCACCTCCTCTCTCAGGACCCCATTAAATTCCTCCTGAAACAAAAAAATAAGAAGGTAGAGAGAGAAAGGATTTCTGTTAGCAAAGAAGCGATCCATCTAGTCCAACCCCAAAAACTTATCCCTTATCAGTGTGTAAGGTATCCAATAGCTGTACCACATAGTAACTGACAACAGCAAAATATACTAGCCCCTAAGAAGTTTCTACCTGCAGGAGTGCCCCAAACCTGCCCATTGCCATACCTGTTTTACTGGGGAGACTGTGATGATAGGGAGACTGAGTCAGAATAGACACAAAGGACCCTGAGCTAGAACTTCCACACTCAAATCTAATGTGTTCACAAAATAATTCATGGATATATTACCTTTTGGAGGCCTGTTGTGGCACTGTAGAATAAACATCGGACTGCTAACTGCATGGTCAGCAGTTCAAAGCCACCAGGCTTTCCTTAGAAACCCTGTACAGGGTCACTATGAGTTGAAACTGACTCAACAGCATGTAACATCTATTATTGTTAGCAAGTTGTTCTAAAATGTATTGGCTTTAAACAATAAACATTATCTCGCAATTTTTGTAGTAGATTTGAAATTTGGGAGCAGCTTCTTTGGGCAGGAGTTTGTAGACAGTGTGTCCACCCAGATTGCATCATGAAGCTTGGCTGGGACTGAGAGGTCGGTTTCCACAATGGACCACTCACATAGCTGTGGCACACAGACCTCTGCAATGCTGCTTGAGTGTCCCCAGGAGAGCTTGTGCCAGGAGAGAAGACCTAGTCGGAAGTCACACTTGGTCATTTCTGGAGTTCCACATATTGTTTGTTACACTAGTGATTAGCAGTCAAGCTCTTAACCACTAGGGCTCCCTGGAGGGTATTGGGTGGTTGGTTATGTGCCGTGGAGTCGTTTACAACTCAGCAGCCCTGCATAGGGTTTCTGAGGCTGTACATCTTTACAGGAGCAGAAAGCCTCATCTTTGTCCCACGTAACGGCTAGTAGTTTTGAACTGCTGACCTGAGGTTCGCAGCCCGACTTGCTTATGAAAATACCAAAAGTGGGGGGTCATCAAAGCTTTTAGTAGGCGGGCTGTTATAATGGATAGAAAACTAAAACCATTTAATCACGAGAAGAAAACTAGGAATTTTTTCTCTGTGACTCAAAATCTATAAGCAATAAGGGAAAACATGGTCAAGTTGATCCCTCCCACCCCCCCACATTGTTGTGTGCGGTCCAGTCAGGTCCAACTCATAGTGATCCTGTGTAGGATTTCCACAGTAACTGGTGGATTTGAACCACCAACCTTGCTAACCATCCAATTTTTAGTACTTCTAAAGTGGCATTGTAGGGTAAGCACTGGACTGGAAACCACAAGGTAGGTGGTTCAAACCTACCAGCTGATCCTCAGAAACCCTATACAGGGTCGCTATGAATTGGAAGTGACTGAACGGTGCTTAAATATGAGTAGTAAAAACAGGAGTGCTGCTAACATTAACAAGCCCTCTTATGCTAACTGCAAGGTTAGCAGTTCAAACCCATCAGCCACTCTCGGAACTGACTCACAGCACACAGCAGTAACAAAAAATGCCAGCAGAGAGTATAGCCCCAGTAGCCTTAAGTCGATTGTGACCCTCTATAGGGTTTCTGAGGAGCCCTATTATTATTCCCATTGTATAGATAGTGAAATTGAGGTCAGAGTGGATTAAGGAATTTCTCCGGTGAGATCTGATCTGAACCCAGGTGTGTCTGATTCTATAGTGCAGGCTGTTCACCTCTGTGCTCTCTGGCTGATAGTACATTCCAAAGCATGTTTTTTGATTACCAGGTTAAGATTCCTAAAGTCTTATGTTTTGCCTTTTTTTTTCTTTTTTTTAAAGGTTCTGAAATTATTTTTCATTTAACTTGAGTCTCTGACTGTTAACAATTTACATCTTAATAACAAAATAAGACTTTCTAGCTGACAAGAGCATTCAAAGTTTTATTGTAAAAACTATGACAACATTAAATGAAAATATTGAAAAAATACCATTTGTAATCCAACCACCTTAAATACATTTGTGTCTGTACCTTTCCTCATAGATTTTCTCATGTGCATCACACACACACACAAACAAGAGACAGTCAACTTTGTGTCTGGCAACAGCCTATTAAATGGACTCTCAAATCATTTGCCACCTGGATCTCTCATTTGCTTTTATGTACATTAATCAAATAAGCTTTTAGGGTTTAAAATTCTCAAACATTAAAAACTAAAGAACGGAGCCATGTCAACCAGCATCATGGCTGTCCTCAGATCCCTGGTGAAACCCAAGAGTGTCAAAAAGTGGACTAAGAAGTTCATCCAGCACCAGTCAGATGTTATGTTAAAATTCAGTGTCGCTGGCTCAAGCCCAGAGGCATTGATAACAGGGTGCAGAGGTTTAAGGGCCAGCTCTTATTGCCCAACATTGGTTATGGGAGCAACAAGAAGACAAAACACATGCTGCCCAGTGGCTTCTGCAAGATCCTGGTTCACAACGTCAAAGAGCTGCTGGTGTTGCTGATGTGTAACAAATCTGACTGCAGAGATTGCTCACGTTTCCTCCAAGAACTGCAGAGCCAGTGGAAAGAGCAGCCCAGCTGGCCATCAGAGTCACCAATCCCAATGCCAGGCTGCACAGCGAAGAAAATGAAGAGACAGCCTGTTTTCAAGTTTTATTTGTGCTAAATAAAACCATAAAATCACAAAACACAAACAAGCAAAGAAAAAACTAAAGAACAAAAGTACTCAAAATCTCATAGTCCAATGAAGATACCTAGAATCCCTTGTAGAAGAAGATGAAAAATAAGTACAAAAAAGAGGAACCTTTTTTTTCCAGAAATTCATCCTACCGTCATGGATGCAGAGCTGTAGCATCTAAGCTTTGGTCAGTTCTTTAGAGCCAGAAGAATTAGTATCTGAAATAGGACTTCGATGTGTGCTGACCATAGATTGTTCACACAGACCTACTATT